GATCATAGATGCAATAAAAATAGCTTCTATATATATATTTCACAGTAAATACAGTCCACTCTAATGCCTAGTGTGCTCCTTATGAGGGACGATCCATGGGGAGATTTTGCTCACATCTCTCTGTTGTACAACCAGTGTATTTAATTCTTAAGGAAATTGCTACTTGTTATTAATCATGTTTCCTTAGTGCTTTGGCCACTAGGGAACTCAGAATCGCATATTGATCTCTTGTTTAGTATTGAATGGCTTCTTAGGCATGCCTTTATTTGTACAAAATTTCCCCTGATTTCATAGTACTGTTCTGGTACTATGGAGTGAGAGTAGTCCTCTGCCTTTAAAATCATTTACTCATGTATTTGTTGAAGACAACATACATTTTTAAGTTGACATGGCAATGAGTCTGGGCACTGTATAGCTGAATCCTCAGCTCAGTGTTACAGACTTGAAATCAAGGTTTTGACTGATGTTGCAATTTCTCATCTGAGGTTGGGGGGGGATCCGCTTCCAAGTCAGCTTATTGGTAGAACTGGTTTTCTTGCACCTGCATGAATGAGGTCCTTATTTTCTTAATTTATTTTTTTTTAACTGGGGCTTGCTCTCAGCTTTTTTGGGCTGTCTTTCTCCATTAGTTCACAGCAAAGCTATTAGCTTTCCTCCTGGGGTCCTGGAGGAACACTTATCATGCCTGGGATCCGCCTCATGCTTCAGATGTCTCCCTTCTGCTGCTAGCCAAAGAAAACACTCTTCTTTTAAGGGTTTCATCTGATTAGATTAGGCTTACCCATAGTTTAAGGTTAATTGAGTTGGAATTTAAATATATCTTCAAATTCCTTTCACAGCGGTTCCTAGATTAGCGTTTGATTGAATAGGTAGGGTAGGATGGGGAAGGTTCCTCTTTAGAACTCTGACAATCACTAGCCCCATAATGCAACACTATGAAGCGATGAAAAGGAGCAAGGAGAATCTCAGCAGACAGTGATGGCATGACTGCCAAGATACAGTATCTTAAAGAAAGATGTCAAACAATATTTATAATGTACAGTCTTCTGGGTAAGAGGTTGTTGTGCAACCACCCAGGCCAGGTTCACCATCAGTTCGGGCAGGTTAGAAGAGAACTTTGGAACCACTGGCATCACCCCCACGGGTTTTTTTTAATAATATGCAAGGGAAACAAGCCAGCAGGGAAAGAGCAGCTTGGGCCCCCTGCAAATGTCTGTACACTTGTTTCTCTGGCGTTCTCTCACAGTTTCTTCCTTCTGTAGCCATCACTCCTCTTGTAGCTATTCTTCCATAACCATCTCTGAGTAATATCCATTACCTTTATAACTGACCTTTAGGCTCAGGTGTGCACACTTAAAACATGGGCGTGGGCGTGCACACACCCATGTGCAGGTGTCTATAGTCTGGCACAAGGGCCCCACACCACAGGCCCCCTAAGTTAGCAAGATCAAGGCTACAGGTGATAGCCATAGAGGCCAATGGCGTAAAAGCCTGAGCAATTCACTTACCCTACAGAGGTGAAAGCAGGAAAGCTATATGTATTTTTAAAATATTTTTATTTTTATTTATTTTTTTTTTAACACTTTTTTTTTTTATTTATAGAGGCATGTTTTTATTTATTTATTTGTTTGTTTGTTTTGTTTATACATGCACTGGGTACAGTCAGAAGCGCGGGAGGGCGAGAGAATTCACCAGAGCCAGAGCGGGGAGCAGGCAGAAGGACCGAAGTACACTGCTGAGGGGAGCAGCGGGCGGCAGGAGAGGTCTGCACGCCATGTGGGACCCTCCTCCAGTGGCCGGGGAGCAGCTGGGGATCGAACCGCTGCGCCGCAGAGGTCGCCGGCAGCTTCGCAACCCAGCGCTCAACCGCTGCGCCACTGGGGAGGCCCTTTAAAATATTTTTAAAAAGAAAGAATGGAGGGATAAAGTTAACCAAAATGGCAAAGTAAGCTATACTTCGTTGACTGTACAGCAGGGGGTCAAATAACTTTAATGTTGTATGAAAAAACCCCAATGGTGTTGAAGAGAATGTTATTTGAAGATCTACTTTTGTTCTACATTTGGCTTAAAGTTGCATATTCCAAGAATCTATCGATGATTTTGTGGTTTATACCATTTTGTGTTTTATACTTAAGATCGTATAAATCTATATAATTGAAAGACAAAACTAAATGAAAATGGTAAAAACATAAAACAATTTCTAAAAGTTGAAAAGCTGGTATCATTCTATGGTATCACTTCCCAGAGGAAATATATTTAAAGTGCTTTTAAATCACAGTATTTTGACAGTATTTGTATATAATTTAGGGTCAAAAAAACAACCCCATAGAAACCTAAACTTGCATTCAGTGTTTTTGTTGTCATTGTTAATATATGTATTGTTAAGCACACCCTGAATTTAAAAACTGGAGGTAAAATATAAAGAAAATAAAATTATGTACTAAGAACATAAAATTTGCTATCTTAACCATTTTTAAGTGTAGCCCTCAGTGGTATTAAATGCACTCACACTGTGCAACCATCACCAAATCCTTCCCCAGAGCTCTTTTCATCTGAAGAAACTGAAACATTACTTCCATTAATCAGTAACTCTCATTCCTGCTACTCCAGCCTCTAGCCATCACTACTTGACTCTCTGACTTTATGATTTTGACTACTCTAATGACATCATATAAGTGGAGTCATATAATATTTGTCTTTTTGTGATTGTCTTCTCTCATTTATCCTAATGCCCTCAAAGTTAACCTACGTTGTAGCATTTTGCAGAATTTTCTTCCTTTTTAAGGCTGAACAATATTCCATTACATATACATATATACATTTCCTTATTTATCCATGGATAGTCACTTGGGTTGCTTCCATGTTTTAGCTATTGTAGCTAATGCTGCTATGAAATATGGATATACAAATGTCCCTTTGAGACCCTGCTTTCAATTCTTTTGAGATTTTCAGTTCAGAAGTAGTATTGTTGGATTATATGGTAATTCTATTTTTAATTTTTCAGAAGGAACTACCAAACTGTTTTCCACAACAACTCTATCACTTTTTATTCCCACTAACAATGCATAGGAGTTCCAATTTCCCACAACACTTTTTATTTTTGATAATAGCCATCTTAACATCTAAGAGATTTTACTCAGGTAATTTTACCATTTCATATCTCTTTTGAATCAAGTTGGAATAAAATTATTAAAAGGTAATGTTAATTTGCTTACAGGTTTATTCTTTTGCTCACCCCCTCATTTTCCTCAAGTCAGAATCAGCTCTGAGCTATTGATAGTGTAATTTTGCACTTCAATATGGCTTTGGCCTACTCACTAGTGTTTCTGGTTTATTAGTGCTGATATTCCAGGTTGTGTGTTCTTTAAGTAGAAGGGATTACCGTTTATAATTTTCTGAGCCATATAATACAATGATATTGTGTCAAGGAAATCTTCCTTTGTACAGTATAATTTTATCACTCAATTTCAGTTTATTAACAGAGAAATCAGCACAGCCAAGTAAGAATTGCAGGAACCCATTTTTATTTTTCTGCAGTAACCTTTGCTTGTTTGATCCTGTTTGCGACTATTCAATTAACATTTCTTGGGCTCACTATGTGCGTTCTTCACCAGGCATTGCCTTCACAGCACTCTTTCAGATGAGCTGCAACGTCTAGGTGGGTTGAGGCCCATTTCTTCTGTAACTTAGAGAAGGGACAGGTAGGATAGGTTTTTGTGTGAGTCCGATATTCTGGGACTACTTCTAACAAGTAAGACACCCAGCTCCAGCCAGAGACAAGTCCTGTGTGAAAGGTAGACACTAGTGATGCCAAAAGCATGTTTTTTTTTTCTTTTTTTCTTTCTTTTATATATTTTTTTACATCATTTTTCATTTTTGCACAATGTATGCATTTTCATCTTGGTTATAGTCTCCATACAATTCCCACACCCCCTTATTTTGACCCTAGTCCCTCCTTTCTTCTCCCCTCTCCCTAATGTGTTTTTGGTTCATAGTTGCTCGTTGATTTTGATTTTTACTTTATTATAATTAGTGTTTTTCCTGGTCCCTTATTTAGGTTTTCTAAATTCCTGCCATGAGTGAGACCATCTGGTATTTTTCTTTTTCTTTCTGGCTTATTTCGCTGAGCATGATCCCATCCAGGTCCAAATTGCTCGAGTTGCTGCGAATTGCATGAGTTTATTTATTTTTTTTGATTACTGAGTAATATTCCATTGTGTATATATTCTGAGTTTTAACTACAGTGATCAACTCCTCTAGTTTGCCAGCGACTTCCCTGATTTTAGAAAGTCAAGTGCCTTAAAAACCCGGCAGTTCCACAAAATGAAAATGCATACATTGTGCAAAAATGAAAAATGATGTAAGAATTATATAAAATAAAATATTTTAAAAAATAGAATAAAACTGAGACCCTAACCAACCTTGCCATTAATGCTTAGTTTGCTTTTTACAAGGGTGTCAGGACCATGTAATGGGGAAGAATGATCTTTTAAGATGCGGTCATGGGACAACTCTATAGCTACATGTGGAAGAATGAAATTGGACCTTCTGCTTCACATCATGTGAAAAAATAAACTCAACGTGTATCGAAGACTTTAAAGTAAGAGCTTTAACTATAAAACATAGGTATAAATCTTCTTGACTTTGGATTAGGCAAGTTTCATATATATGACACCTAAGGATGTGCTATCAACCAAAGGGGGCAAAAATAATAAACTAGATTTCATCAAAATTAAAAAAAAACAAAAACCAGTAGTTCCAGGCAAACTAGAATACCTGGTCCCTCGAGCTCCAATTCCTATTCCCACGTCGCAGCGACCACGGAGGTACCTCTTAACTACCAGGAATAACTTCCCGACTGAGCAATTCGTTCACGTCTATGCCGGTCCCTCTTCAAGACTACAAGTCCCAGCATGCAGTGCAGCACCGGCCAGCCTGCCTGTGTCACGCCTGCGACCCCGTAGGCACGGCGCCTGGGAGCCCTGCGCGCTGACGTCACAGGCACACGCGGTATTTTTGCGCCTCTTCGCGTCCTCCTGGCTTGCCAGACTCCTCTGGTTTAGGGAGGTGTCGGGGCGCTGCACGGTGCTCCCCACAGTCCTGCGGTCTGGCCTTTAGGTTTTAAGTTTTGGAATCGCGGTGGTTAAAAAGCGGAAAGAGGCCGCCTGTGCAGCCTCGGTCCAAGATGGACAAAGTCTGTGCTGTTTTTGGAGGCTCTCGGGGCATTGGCCGGGCGGTCGCCCAGTTACTGGCCCACAAAGGCTACCGCGTGGCCGTCCTCGCCAGAAATCTGGACATGGCCCAAGCCGCCGCCGGTGAGCTCGGCGGTAGGTACCGAACTACAGCTTTGCAGTGGTGTCAGCAGTTCAAGCGCCGCAGGTCCCCTGGTTTGTAAAACGAACGGGTCAGCCCTTTGGGGCGCTGAGGCTTAGCAGTTCAGCTTTCGGGGTGCAAGAGCACTCCCGAGTTCAGACTGCAGCCCGAGTGTAGACCGCAGCCCGTGCACATACCCTTGCCCGCAGCCTCCCTGTTGACCGCAGAACGCCTCCTGCCGCGCCGCCTGCCGTCCCGGGACTAACTCTTGGAGTTTCGTGGGGACTTAGAGGTCTTTGAGGGCCCATTTATAGGCACCCCCCTCCTCGAGGCTAGGGCTCCCCGGGAGCAGCTGTTTGTTTTGGCAGCTGGTAGGAGAGAGCCACGCAACGGTTAACATTTTCTGTGGGGTAAAGGGCTCGGCCCTGGCGCAAGATTCTGGGCGTCCTGGAAGCTGTGCAGGGGGTTCAGGCAGGAAAGGTGGGTGTGTCAGGCTTTAGGGGCTCCCTGAAGTTGTGCTGAGTGCAGTTCTGGTCCCGGTGCGGATGCTGAGACTTCTGAGTACCAGTGTGAACTACACTGGGTTCGCTCTACCACACCCGCAAGCATTACTGAGTTACCAGGCTTTGGTGACTTTTTTTTTTTTTTTTTTAGGATTTATTTATGCATACAAGAGCTGGGGTACAGGCCAGAGGTGTGGTGAGAGAGAGGATTCACTAGAGACAGTAGGGAGCAGAACAGGCAGCTTGACTGAAATACACTGCTGAGGGGAGCAGCGGGGGAGTCAGGAGAGGTCTGCTGCGCCATGTGGGTTGCTCCCTGGCCCGCTGGGGATCGAACTCATGCTGCAGTGGTTGTGGACAGCTTCATAGGTTGCGTCTTAATCCCTTGCACCACCAGGGAGGCCCATTGGTGACTTTTATGAATGGGCAATTGAGATTTATCCAACCACATTCCTTACTGCATAAAAACTACAATTTTTGCCTGTTTATTAACGGGTTACTACTTGTTTTGTGAACTTTAGTCTTGCTGGTAAGAAGAAAGAGAATGCTAGAAAACTAACATGCTGCAGTTTGTTTAGTTCCGAGAGTGAACAGATGCCTCTCATTTACCTTCCTGGGGCACTGGGAAATCAGCGACCCGGGATGCACCTCGTGTTTGTACCTTATGACATTACACATTGGTTTGGTATCGTGAACTCACCCTAATTGTTTACATGGGTTGGCAAAACATTAGACTAAAAGGAGAAAAAATATATATATATATTTATATAGGCTAGAGAGAATCACAGTGAATGCTTCTTGCTCCTTATATTTATTGCCGTTATGTTACACTAACAAAGGGTGAAAGAGTGATACTCCTTGGGGGCCCCCCCAAGCTATTAGTGTTTGCTGGACTAGGTGAAAATCTTGGTTGAAATTTGCAGACCCAACAAGGCACAGGTGAAAGCCAAGAGTGAGACTCAGAGGTTGTTTGTGGCTTTTCATTTCCTTGAACCATGTGTTTCATCAGTGACTGGTTTTCACCCAGAAAGTGTGACTTCCCAGGTGACTTACTTTTTCTAAAGGTTGAGGGGTAATCAACATTCCTGGAAGTCAGCCGGAAAACAATCATTTTTCAAAAGTCTATTTTAGTGTTAAAATGCTTTATTTTCCTTTGAAGTGTAATTTTGGGGGCATTTAATCAAAACATTTTTTAAAAAGTGGACATTAAAAAAGATGAGTAACAGTTGTTTTAATATTTTTTTTTCCTTCATAGTTTGTAGCGTTGGCATTTTTTTACAGTTTCCTGCTATGTCTCAACCCTCCAAATGGGCAGGCTTGAATAATAGTCATGATAATATGTATGCCATAGTAAAAATAAAAAGACCCATTAGAGTTTACACTTATGGCCAAGAAATCAATTCTACATAACCCTAATAGAATTAGACATAAATTCCAAAACAGGAATATAAAACTCAGAAGACTCTTCAATTGGGTGGTAAGGGGTCAGTATCAAAGCTATATTGTTAAATAAATCTTACAAAGTCTTATAAACAGGAAAAATGCCCTCCTATTTTTGATTAAAATTTTTTTTGAGGTGAACATTCTGTATTACCTGTTTCTCATTTCCCATTCTCTCTCATGTTAGTTTCATTAGACTGAAATCAATGAGAGCAGAAGCCTATGACAGTCATTTTTTTTATCTTTGCATTCTAGATTATCATAGGCCTAGTTTATAATAGATGCTTAGCAAGTATATATTGAATGGTTTTAAACTTCACATTGTAAGTAATTCTAATGTAACTTTGTTTGTAGGAGGTCATTTTGCATTTAGCTGTGATGTTGCCAAAGAACGTGATGTTCAAAATGCATTTGAAGAAATGGGGAAAAATTTGGGTCCCGTTAATTTCTTGGTAAACGCAGCTGGAATTAACAGGTTGGTCGAAAATTTAAGCCTCTAATATGTCTTCTTTTCCTTAATATGTCTTTGACTAGTATGAGTTAATTTATTATGTTGTTTGACTTCTAATTGGAAGAAAAACTATATATTAAAGCTTGGTCTGTTAATCTGTACCATTCTTTCCTATGGCAATATATCTCTAACATCAGTAAGGCCCAGTTTGAGGACTTTTTTTTTTTTAAGTTGAGGAAACATTGGTTTATGTTTCTGTTTTAGAGCTATAGAATCTCCCCCTTCAGGTGTTGTTCTACCACACCACCATAATCCATTGTGTTCCCTCTGGATTTTGTGCTTGCTCCTCCCCTCTTCCCTCCCTGGTGTGGTAGCCTTAATTCTACAGTCAGATTTCTAGGGTATGCTATTAGTTTGGCTATATCTGACCCTTTGTTTCTCTATATTTCTTATATAGATGACACTGTATTTGTCTTTCTCCCTCTGACTTAATTAGTTCAGCATAATCCCCTGTAGTTCCATCCATGTTGTTACAAATGGCAAGAGTTTATCTGAGTAGTATTCCATTATGTATATATATACCATGTCTTCTGTTTTTGTGGCTTCCATAGTTATGCTACTGTAAATAGTGCTGCAATGAACTTCAAATTACTGTTTTATATTCCTTGGATACATATCTAAGAGTGCTTTTTAAAGGAATTTTGAGGAATTACTTTTAACTTTACATGTTGCATATGTGTGTTTTGTAGGGATAGCCTTTTAGTAAGAGCTAAATCTGAAGACATGCTCTCTCAGCTTCATACTAACCTCTTGGGTCCTATGCTGACATGTAAAGCTGCGATCAAGACCATGATTCAACAACAGGGAGGGTCTATTGTTAATATAGGTGAGTCTTCACCTTTGTCAATTTTTATTGTCTCTAATACCATAAAACTATTTAATCGACTGACTTGCCATTTATTCAGGTGTGAAACTTGAAAGAACGGTATTTTGTTATCTGTGGGAAAAAACTGATGAATGGGTAAATGGGAATCACAGATTCTTATCTCTATAGTGGTCAAGCAGGTTAATACCTGCTTAGATGAGTGACATATGACAAATGATGTTCAGCTTCATAGTCCAGTGGCCTTATAGAATGGAAGGGTCAACCACTGCTCAGAATCTAGTAGACAGTGCTGAAAATAAATAAAAAATTATGATTGAAAATAAGAAAATCTTACTACAGAAAGAACTACTTTAACCTGCTAGAAAGTTCATTAATATTTCAGATGTTATCACTTCTTGACCATATGAATATGAATCAAAGCTACTAAAGATTCCTGTTTGGTCTTTTGTGGCTATTTTTCTTCCTGTTTTTCTATCTCCATTTTTCCTTTCTCTCTAATAGCTCTTTATCTTTATTTTCTCTGTTCCATATCTATTTCTGTGCTTCAGGTTCTCGTCCTTTGTTATTAACTGGCATATAATGTATATATATAAATATTTTAAATCTGTCTTGATGGTTATACTGTAAAAAGGGTTTGGAATTTTTTTTCAAAAATTTTTCAAAAATTTTTAAGTTTTTTTTTTTTTAAAGATTTATTTATACATGCATGTAGGAAGATGAGAGGATTCACCAGAGACAGAGTGGGGAACAGAACAGGCAGATCTACTGAAATACACTGCTGAGGGGAGCAGTGGGGGAGACAGGAGAGGTCTGCCTTGCCATGTGGGTTGCTCACTGGCCAGCCGGGGATCGAACTCATGCTGCAGAGGCTGCGGATTACTTGATAGTGCAGTGCTTAACCCCTTGCACCAATTTTTAGGTTCTTGACTAATTTTTTATCATAAATACAGGTCACTGTTGCAGAAAATTATTTCTTCACTTCTGTTTTAAGAATTTTTTTTTTTTTTTTTGCATGGCCAGATGTGCGGGAGGGTGAGAGAATTCACTAGAGACAGAGCGTGCAACAGAACAGGCAGACTGACTGAAATACTGCTGAGGGGAGCAGTGGGTGAGACAGGAGAGGTCTGCGTGCCATGTGGGACCCTCGGCTGCAGGCAGCCTCGCAACCCAGCGCTCAGCTGCTGTGCTACCAGGGGAGGCCCCAAATTTAGTGAGTTTTACTTTCAGATGAACTGTTTTTTTCAGGTGGGAATGAGTGCTTACATCTGTTGTGGAACCATTAATCAGGCTCTATCTGATTTTAAGCTCCTACTAAAAGCCTTTTTGGAATTTTCATTGTGTCTCAGTCATTAGAATGAGTTCCTTTCACTAATGACTCTGTTATCAAGCCCCTGTCTGACATTCAAGGTTCTCCTTAACTTTTTTCAGATCCTGTTTTCTATGTGTTTGGGCTAGACTCACTCTGTTTTATTACTCAAAGTAGTATGACTATGATTGGAATCCCTACTTTTAGCAAAGGAAGAGATAAAATTTTAACTTTCTTGTTTACTGTAAATTATCTGAACATTCAGATAATCCTATTGATTGGACTGAATTTGCTTTCTTTTTTTCCTAGGAAGTATTATTGGTTTAAAAGGCAATTCTGGCCAGTCTGTATACAGTGCCAGTAAAGGAGGATTAGTTGGATTTTCACGTGCTCTTGCTAAAGAAGTTGCAAGAAAGAAAATAAGAGTGAATGTAGTTGCACCAGGTTAGTGAAAAAAAAATTGCAAGCATAATTTTATGTACATTTATTACTTTATACATTCGTAGTAAGGATCAAACGCTGCTCAGAGAGTAATGGAACAGGAACATAGACTCTACATTGGAATTAAACTTGAAATGCCATAGAACGTGACTCTGTCTTGACAGGACTTACATGGCCACACTGCCAGCCCATGCACTGCTCTCAAGGGTGAGGCCAAGAATAATGCCAGGCTGTTTTGTTTGCATAAATCACATAGCATTTTTTACTGCATGATTACTTCCCAAGTAAAACCATGAGAGAAACTTCTTGTTTAAAAATCAGTTAAGTCAAAGTCAGTCAGTTTGTTTAAAAATCATTAAGAACTCTTAAGAGCTGGTTGTCAGAATTTCAGTTAAGTGTGGAGGTGGGGTGGGGTGAGGTGGGGTGGCGTGTAGTGGTGGTGGTGGCTATGGCAACATATATGCAATGACTGAACAAATCCAAATTATGTGCTGTGGAGAACTGCATTTTAAATATCCTTTTTGGGATGTTCCATTGATAATACTCACAGGGATATAATGTTTGCTATTTAATTTATACTTTGTCAAAGCAGATCTTTACAAGTAACACATCTATAACCTAAATGTATTCTGTATGTCTGTTATGGAAAAAACACGTCTTTATATTTAAAATATAAATAGCTTTATAATAACTATGCTTTTACTAATAGTACAATCAGAGGAAATAAACAAGGCTGCATAGGGGATACCATTTTTACATTCCACAGAGCAATCATGTACAACAATTGATTTACTAATTCCAGAAAGTCATTGTACAAATAAAAAACTAATAGAGGTCACATGCATGATATTTGTTTTCAAAATAGACAAGATGCCTTTCAGTGAACTTCAGTGTACCCCAGAGAGCCACCAGGATTCATGTTAAAAAAAAATTTCAATACAAAGAAAAATTTGAAGATGAAAAAAAGATTTGTATACAGACTTAGGAAGTAGAAACATTTTTAAAAATCCCTTTATTAAAATAGTAGGATTTTAACTGATTTTAGCTGTAGTTACCTCTTTGGTAAATGAGTGGCTCTCTGACGCTTATGTATAGGGGTATGGGAGGAGGAGAGTGGTGGTATGTGGGAATGGAAATGAATACAAGCAATTTGGCCTGAACAAGTTTTATCACATGAGGGCAATATAGCTTAGTGCAACTAAGTGTTCTAAAACCAGATTTATTTTGGAGTGGCTAACAGTGACGAGGGTTAGAAAGGTGACTAGTGATGTTTCAAATAGCAGAAATCACAATGGGATGCTTACTACAGACTTGGCTTCCTTTAGGAACTTTATCAGGAACTCTTGTGCTCTTGTTAAACATGCAGGAAAAAGCCAACAGAGATGCAGTTCATCTGTAAGACTAAGCAAGTGTGACTTGTGCTAAGTATACAGAAATCGGAGCCTTCTGAAGAAGGCAGGCAGTACATTTTTGCATACTTACTCCTTTTATTATTTTGACTTTGGACATTCCATAGGATTTGAAAATACTGATGGATTAAATGAGATGCAAAGTCAGTTTGTTCTGTCAGTTATAAGTAATCGAAAAATACTAAGACATAATGATTGGAATTATAGTTTGGATTGCTAAAGGCTAAAGAAATTTTCCAATTCTTATACTAGGGCTTTTTAAAGTAAATTCAGCTATATAACTTGCAAGTTGTTAGTGTTCAAATAGCCCCAATTTTCAAACAAATTCTATTCCATTTGGTTGCCATCTGTGCTCAGTAACACAAAACATTCGACAAACTAAAGACCCATTTTAAAATTTCCTCCTTTGACTTCAACTTCTGGATTGCACTAAAGTAATCTGTAGGGCAGAAGGGAAAGAGGGATGAAGTGTGAGTGTTGACATAACTCTTGAAGGCAGAGCTATAAAACCAGCTTCCACCTTCCTTAAAATACAGAAATAGGAGAGAAAACTTGCTGGAAAACTTAAAAGGTGAAGTTGATCAAAACCTTAGTTTGAGAAAGGTGTCTTGTTTTCTGGTTTCCCTGTCTGATACACAAATGTGCTGGTCCTCACAGTAGGAACTTAAAACAGCACAGCATTATAGGCATCCAGCAGAAGACTCAGTGTGCTTAGCTCACAGGATAGAGTAAGCAGATGGAATTAAAAAAAAATACATATATAAAACCATATTAGGTTGTGTTAAATGTGGAATGCAAAATGTGCATAACCCTATATTATTCTGACAAAATGGACCAGAAACGTTGAATGTGCAAGTACTAATAACAGGGGTGTTAAGATTAGTCAGAAATACCACCAAGTAGCATCCCCAAATATACAAACCAGTTAAGCAGGTATGAAATTAGTATTAATCCAGTTAGAAATACATAATGAAAATTGTGGATGCTACCTCAAATATCTGAGATCCCACAAATTTGCAGGCTGTGTAACAAAGTAGACTCTGGTTTTAAGAGAACGTTAAAATTCAGTGTCCTAAAAATATTACTAAGTCCTAACAATAACATCAGAAATCACTTATCTGGAAATTAGAACCATTTAAATGTTTGTATAGATTCATAAACAATAAAATAAGGAGAAATAGAAAGGATCTTTACAGGGGCCTCCCTGGTGGTCTAGGGGCTAAGTCTCAGTGCTGTCATCTTGATGGCCTGAGTTTGATCCCTGGCCAGGGAGCTAACCCACATATAGTGTAACAGCGCTCTCCTGTCTCACCCGCTGCTTCCCTGAGAAGTGTATTTCAGTAAATCTGCCTGTTCTGCTCCCCACCCTGTCTCTGGTGAATCCTCTCACTCTCTGCACCTTTAGCCTAAACCCCAGTTCTTGTACACAAAAATGGATAAATTAAAAAAAAAAAAAAAAAAAAAAAAAAAAAGATCTCTACAAGGGTGATGTTCATTTTTTTTCAAAAGAATTGAACAAGTTAATTCAGCAGATTGATAACAGGCTGTTGGTTCTCTTGTGAATTATATGGCAATGTGAATAGGCCCAAAGCTGTTAAGAGGAGGTACAGAATGGAGAACTTGGTTCTTTGTCATTTATCAATTCAGCAGAGCACAGGTGGTACAAACAAAAATTTAACTTATCAAGGATGTGAGACCATCACAAGATTACAAAAGTATAAATTTTGGACCAAATGGATAGTTAATAAAAGACAAATACAATGTTGATTGTATTTGTTTAAGTACATACACATGTTGGTGTGTTTAAAATTTCTTATTAAAATAGCTGTTATAGATTTGTGATTTATAGAGATGAAGCCATTAATTTATCTGTTAATTGGTGCTCAAACTGACATCTGGGTAGAGTAATACTAAAAATGAATGCAAAAAGAATCAAGTAACTGGTAAAAAAGTTCCTGGTGACTGGTAAAATAGTCCTTATACTTTGTTTTATATGAAATCCTTATTTTTAAACTTTAATAATAGAATAACTTAAGATGGAAAGCATCTTAGAGATCACTTATTCCAGCAATTTTTACAATTTGAAAGACTGGGACCTAAGAGACAGTATGATTTCCCAAAAGTTACACAGAATTGTTATGTGCAGATTATGGCAGAACTGTTATTAAAAGCTTTTCTTTTGATTTCCAACTAAGGTAAGCTTAAAAATGATGCCTCCTTACATTTCCTTTATATTGTTACAAACCTTAGGTCTTTGTTTTCTTTTGCTCATATGACCTTTTGAAACTATTTGAATTCTTCCAATTTTATAACTTACCTTTACATTCTTTGCCTTTTGCAAGTAACTATTTGATAAAATTGCTTGAATTGGTTGAAAGGGCAGTAAAGTACTAAAACTCAAATCTACATTATTACTCATCAGCTGCTATAATAGAAATTTTGGTTACATATTTCCTGATTTTTGAATAAAATGGGTATTGTCCTACTTTTGCCAATTTACCATGGAATCTTTGTCCTAGATTACTATCGATATTTAAGGATTGATGGCCAGTTGAATAAAAGACATTTAATTTTGATTTACTGGTTCTTTATAATAAAGAGTGGGCTGAAGTAGACCTTTGCCACCTTTCCATTTCAAGTTGTTGATAGCTGCAGTTTCGACCGTATTATTGGTGTTAATTTTGCCATTAATGCTGAATTCAATAGGGACCAGAAAATTATCAAGATGTCCTGATAATTCTTTTGCTCTAATAATGTTTCTTCAACCCTGTTCACTGTTTAGTTACAATAACTACCTAAATCCAAGCATTCTAACTCTGTGGTAAATGACTGTGGTTTAGATATAGCCATTTTGGAGCGGGGGAGGAAGGAATAAAAACCTAATCTAAAGCTGCACCGTGATCTTGAAGCTGCTTTCTCTGTGTCTGTGCTTTTTGCCACCTATTGGATTGTAGAGTTAGCCTGGCATAACCATTTATTGAATAGATTATTTGTGCTTTTACATATAATTTACAAATAATAGATCTATTACAAATAATAGATTATTTGTGCTTTTACATATAATTTCTTCGCTGTTTAGCAATTGGGATAAGGTAGGCAATAAAGTTAATTCTACTTGATGATGATTGAAACTGAGATAGTGTAAGGATAATGCAAGTTTCCGTCACTCATAGTAAACTCACTCAGCAGACTTCCTGGAGTGTCTTCTATGCGCAAGGACTGTGCTAAGTTCCAAAATACAGCGAGTGGAAAAGGCAGATATATATAAACAGATAGTTTTGGTGTCCTGGTATTAATGTAAATTAGAGGTACCTGATGATGCTATGTAATTGCTGAAGAAGGAAACTTGATTTTGTCTAGAATGAGTTAGTTTTCAAGGCAATGGGCTATACAGTGGGAATCCATTTTGTCTACTAGGGATTGTTATATGACTGTTCTGAAAGTATATTGGTATAGCCTTTCTTAAAAATGACTTTTCAGTGTAATTTAAATTATAGGAAAAAAACTGCATACTAAAAATGGGGCCATTTAATAGGGTGACCTTTATTATGTTGGCGATATATTTAGTAGCTTTCATGCTATGAATATGCTTCA